TCCCCCCACCCCACCCCACCCCGCCGCCACCCCCGTGCCGCTCCCCCGGGCAGCCCCCGTAGTGGTCCCGTGGTAGGTACCGGGGCTCCGGTGTTCAGCCCCGGGATGGGGATTGGAACCCCGCATCGGGTGTTGGAGCCCAGACATCAGACCCGCAGCGGGTGTCAGGGTCCCACATCGGCTGTAGGAGCTTGGCACGGGGAGCCGGAGCCTCTCATCAGCCCCATACTGGGCATCGGGACCCCGTGCTGGGCGTCGAAGCCCCGGGCATTGCAGCCTCACATGAGCCCTATATCCGTCATCGGATATTGGAGCCCCATCCTGGGGACTGCAGCCCCACATTAGCCCCAGATCCGTCACTGGGTGTTGGAGCTCCCTCCATCCTGGGTGTTGCAGCCCCACATCAGCCCTGTTATCCATTACCGGGTATCAGCACCCCATGTCAGGCATCGAGGTCTCACATCGGGTGACTGAGCATGGCACTGGGTGCCAGAGCCCCACATCAACCCCATACTGGGCATCGGGGCCCTGCGTTGGGCATTGAAGCCCACGCTGGGGATCGTGGCTCCGGATCAGCCCCGGGTGCCAGAGCCCCATGTCGGGTAGCACAGAGCAGGCATCGCTGCCCCTGACCGGGTGCCACTGGCCCCACATCGGGCATCGCCGCCTGTCTCAGGCATCGCGTGTCCTCTGCCACCCCCTGCTCCCAGCCTGGATTTCTGCCGGATCCGCTGGGGTTGACACCAATGGAACAAAAAGGTCCCCCGGCTCCTCAATCCCATTTCCCAACCCGGGGAGGGGACATCGCCTCCACCCTCCCTGGGAGCAGGATGAGGCCATGTTTTAAAAAAGCCTCTTTTTTTGTTTGTTTTCATTTCAAGAAATAAAAATAAAAAATGCTGGGGGGCATTTCTGATTCGGGCTGAGCAGGGAGGAGGTGACCGGCTGTGTTGCTTCACCTGGGGGGGCCGAAATTCCCACTGCCAGCTCCAGCACTGAGCTTTAGCCCCAGTCATTTTTGGGAGGCAAAAGCTCTCTTCCTCCTCCTCCTCCTCCTTCTCTTCCTCTCTTCATGCTGCAGACCCGTCCAGACAATGCTGTCATTGCCAAAGCAGGGGAGGGGGGATAAAAAAAAAAAAAAAGCCTTGCTGGGAAGGAGATTAACCCCTTCGAGCAGCGGTGGTGGCTCCGCAGCCGGACTCTGGCTCGGGGCCGGGAGAAAAGCTCTAGGGAGAAAATCCCGTCTCTCCCCAAGGCAGAGGCATCCAGGGCTGGTGGGGTGATCAACTCCCTCCTTAAAATGCCTTCACCCCAGCCACCCTCTCCAGGCAGCCTGGCTGAGTCCTACACCCCCAGGGGGGAGGTGGGGGCAGCCTGTGCCTCGGTTTCCCTGTTTCCTGCCAAGGCTGTGGAGGGGATGAGCCAGCCTGGAGCTGCCACCTCCCAGTGACATGCCCAGCACCATCAGGATGTGGTTGGACTGGGAACCTCTCACCCAAGGAAACCGGCCTGGATTCAATTTCACGCCATTTCTGCGTGGGAAAGGTGAAAGAAAAATGATGAAAAAGAAGGAAAACCCCACCATGCTACGGCTGGGGCTCAGCTCGTGCCCTACACAGCCCCAGCCAAGCACCAGTGGCACCTAAGGGTGCCTTGTCCCCATCTCCCAGCCACGTGGGTGGCCTGGCACTGGCACTGGGGGACAAATAACTCCCTCCCCAAAGAACTGCAACGTTGAAGGGCAGCAGTGGGGTCCTATGGCTGGGACTCTTGCCCAGGACACAGGAGGGCAGAGGGACCTTATTTTGGTGGTGGGTGGCTTTTTCAGCACCCCTTGGCCTGTGGTGAGGAGGACTCACTTGGTGGCAGTCCCCAAGCCAGCTTCATTCCTGTTGCCTCTTTTCCCGCGTGCTCGGCGTCCCTGGGTGACCTTGGCATGTCCTTGTCCCCACTGTCCTCTTCCCCATCCTCCTCTTGCCTGGCATCCTAGGGGATTGGGGGCATCAGGACCTGGTCCCTTGCTACAGGGGAGCCTCACTCACCTTGCTCAGGATGGCCATGGAAGGTGGCCCAGGGACAGTGCCCCAGGGATGGTGGCAATGGCAGTCCCCAGGGACCCACAGCCAGGGCACTGCCACAAGTGACAGGTGAAGTGGCACCCTCAAACCTCTTCTTTGCTGACTCATGAGGAAATCGGGGCTTTCATGGTCCCCAGAAAACAATGTCAGGCTGCTCCCATGACACCTCAGTACAAACCTTGTCCCCAGAGCTGCCACCAAGCCAGAGTGCCCATGGGGATGTGTGGTGGCCCATGTCCTGCAAGGCTGGCTCTGGTGTCCATGTCCCAGCCTGGTGGCTGCCTCAGGGGGGTTTGCAGGCCCCTGGCACTACCATCGGGTGGTGACACCAGGACAGCACCAGGATCTTGTCACTGGGACGACAGCACAGGACCTGACCTTGCTGGGATGGCAGCACCAGCGTGGCTTCACCAGGATGGTGACACCAGGACTGGCTCCACTGGGATGGCTTTGCTGGGATAGTGGCACTGCAACCAGCCTCACTGTAACAGCACTGGAATGGCCTTGCCAGGATGGTGGCACCTGGATAGCTTCAGTGGAATGATGGCACCAGGACTGGCCATGCCAGGCTGGCACTGGGATGGCCTTGCTAAGACAGCACCAGGATTAACCTCACCAGGACAACACTGACTGGCCTCGCTGGGATGGTGGCACTGGGATGGTGACACTGGGATGGTGGCACTGGGATGGTGACACTGGGATAGCCTCGCTGTATGCTTGCACCAGGATTAGCCTCGTTGCAATGGCACCAGGACTGGCCTTGCTGGGATGGCACTGTGGCTGGCATTACTGGGACAGGCCTCAATGGAATGGCACCAGGATGGTCTTACTGGGACTGGCATCTCTGAGGCATCACTGGGACTGACTTCACTGGCGCCACGCTGAGATAGCCTTGCTGGAATGGTGACACTGGGACAGCCTTGGGATGGCCTCACTGGACGGTGGCACTGGGACAGCCCTGGGATGGCCTTGCTGGAATGGTGGCACTGGGACAGCCCTGGATGGCTTCACTGGGATGGTTGCACCAGGGAAGCCTTGGAACAGCCTCACCACAAAGGCAGTGGGACTGGTCTTGCAGGGATGGCCCTACTGGAATGGCACTGGGGTGGCCTCCCAAGCACCTGTGCCCTGTCCCTGTCCCCATACAATTGTCCCCAGTTCCAGCCTCCCCTCCTGCCCAGTTGGTCCTCACAGGCTTGGGAGAGGCGAGGACTGGGGCTCCTGCTGTGGGAATGGAGCCCTCCATGATGGTTGGTTTGGCCATCAGTGCTTTGGGGGAGGCTGCAGGTGCTGGGGGGCTCTGCTCTGCTGCTGGCCAGGGTCTTAAAGCTTTTTCCTTTCTTCCTCTCAAATTTCCAACCCCATGAGATGCCTTGAGCCCTGTGAGGAAGAGATCACCCAAGATCCTGAGGTCTCCATGGTCTACAAGTTTGGGTGGCTAGACTGGAAAGGGAAGAAAACAGAAGGGGAAAGGGTTATGCTCAGCCTTTATTAGCCATCAGAGAAGCCCCTGAGCTGCCCTGTGTCTCTGTACCAGTGAAAGGGAGAGTTGCCCTGTGTGGGAGGGGATGCAGGGAATGAGGAGCTCTGTCTCTCACCATGGCCCTTCCTCCTTGTTCCTCCTTGCAGAGCTCCTACCCCATCTGGGAGGATTTCAACTCAAAGGCCACCAAGCTGCACTCCCAGCTCAGGTGAGTGGCCAAGGGTGGTGTGGGACATGGGAGTCCCCTCTCCCCATGGCACATCCCGGTGTGCCCCACACCTGCTGAGCTCCCCCCTCTCTCTCTCTGCCCCAGGACCACGGTGCTGGCTGCAGTTGCCTTCCTGGATGCCTTCCAGAAAGTGGCCGACATGGCCACCAACACCCGAGGTAGGTCCTCTCCCCTAGGGGTGAGTGTCCCCAGGCTTGGCCAGGCAGGGGGACGGGTGGCGAGTGTCCCCTGTGGGGTGTCCCCTGCCCATGTGACTGGAGTGCACTTCAGTCAGCAGCTCCACCCTCCCTGGAGACATGTCCAACCTGTCCCCACACCAAGGTGGAGCCTGCCCTGGGAAACAGGGTTGGAAAGGTGGGGAGTGGAGGGGAGGGCACCCATGTGGATGCTGGCTTCTCACCACCCATGGGTGCTTAGCCGCATCTTCTGGTGGGGCTGGGACATTTGGGGTGGCTCTGCCCCACGCCATGGTCCCCTGCACCCATCTCTGTCCCCCGGGATGCACGAGCCACCCTCCTTGTCCCTGGCACCCACCTGGGAAATTCCCAGGGCGGTCCTGGCCGCTCCAGGTGTCTCTAGGGAAAGGAAATAAGCTGGAGGGACATTCAGGAGTCCAGGCTTGACTGTTTCATGGACAAACCCCAACCCACCAGGGAAGCGACTGAAGAGCTGAGGGGGCCTCCACACTGCTGGGGGGTGGGGGGGAAGGACCCCCGGACCCTCTCCAAGTGCCTGTTGGCAACGAGGAGCCACTTCCCACCGATCAGCTTCTGCCAAGCAGATGGTCCCGGGCTGGTTTGCAGACTGGCGGCATCCAGGCCATCTGGAGCTGCATGAGGAGGAGGAGGAGGAGGAGGAGGCGGCAGCTTGAGCCAGGATCAGCTTTGCCTCCAAACCCACTAGCCCACTGCACTGGGGGGATTAGGTCTCCCCCAACTCCCCACCAGCCTGGGCAGTGGAAGCAAGGAGGGGGCATGGGGGAGAAATGCTGGGAACAGCTGGGGACCGGCACCCCGGGAGGCAGCATCACCCTGTCATGCTGTTATACCTGCAGGGGTTTTTTTTGGGAGGGTGGGAGGCAGAGCAGCAGCACTGAGAAACTGAGGCACTGGGTGGGGGCTGGCTGGTGGCCTCGCACACAGCGCGTGAGAATCGGATTAGGAGCAGCAGGAGCTGGGATAAGAGCATTAGGAGCTGGATTAGGAGACTACCCCCGTGCAGGAGAAGGCCCTGGGCCCACGGGTTCCCCTATTTCCATGGCACTGAGGGGCTGGGGAGTGCTCCAAACTCCTGCAAAAGGGTGGAAGGTGTCTCTGGAGGCTCTTTTATGGGAGAGAAGGGCGGAACATCACTCCTCGATTTGCACCCAGGGATTTTGGATTGCTGCTTTTCCTGGGATTTGCCAGCAGCACTGCCACCACGTGGCCATCCTTAGGCTTCAGAGTTAACAGCGGTTTCATCTGAAAGGGATGCTTCTGCTTTCTCTTGCTGGCTAATAGCCCCCCCGGAGGAGTCTGGACTCCCTTTTTACCCACTCAGGATTGTGCCTGGAGGTGTGGGACAGAGCTGACTGCCTGGAACTAAGCCGGGGCACCTCATCCCTCCCCTTCCCTGGCCTCGCAATGCCAAATTTGAGACAAACCAGGGAAAAACAGGAGCAGGTTTTAATTTCAAAGCTGCCAGAAGGGTTATTTAGTGCTTTATTTGTTAGTTGGTGGATGATGATTGATTTATTTTGCGGATTTACCATGGGGAAAAAAAGGAAGAATCCCGAAGAGTCCCCAGAGCTCAGCACATCCCAGCGCCCATCGTCCCTGCCATGAGCCACCCTGCTCCCACCATCCAGATTGGGCTGGGACTGGTGTGGGGATGTCCCTGCCCCTCACCAGTGGTGCTTCTCTCCCTGCCAGGTGCCACGAGGGACATCGGCTCTGCCCTGACCCGCATGTGCATGAGGCACCGCAGCATCGAGGCCAAGCTCCGGCAGTTCACCAAGTAAGGGGGCCCAGGGCGTTGGTGACAGTTCAGAGTAAGAGGGCCCAGGGCGTTGGTGACACGGCTTGGCTGCTGTCCCTCGCTGAGGGAGGGGGTGCTGGCTGTCGGCTGGGCCTGGGCTGGGGGGCATGGCTCCCCCTACGCCCCAGCTCCGGCACTCTCCCACGCTCTCCGCTTCTCTCTGTTTTCCCTGCTCCAGCGCCCTCATGGAGAGCCTGATAAACCCTTTGCAGGACAGGATTGAGGACTGGAAGAAAACTGCCAACCAGCTGGACAAGGATCACGCGAAAGGTACGGGGAGGGACAGGATGGATCCGTGCAGGGTGGCTGCACTGCCTGGGGGGGATCCCCTCTGACAGCACTTCTGTGCCCTCAGAGTACAAGCGAGCACGCCACGAGATCAAGAAAAAATCCTCTGACACCCTCAAGCTCCAGAAAAAGGCTCGCAAAGGTGAGGGAGGGTCTCCTGGGGGGTGCCCCCACCAGCCCCTCTGCAGCACGCCCAGCCACGGCAGGCGTGGCACTGCCAAATGGGGGGTGGGCACTGGGGGGGTCCTGCTGCCCCCCTGCAGAAAGGGGGGTGCCAGCACGGCCCAGGGGGTGGTGGGGAGGCAGGGGCATGTGCCCCAGCCTTTGACCTCTTTTCACACGTTTTCTCTGTCTCCTTCTCTCTTCCCTCCCCTCCACATCCTTCCTGTAGAGCTACTTGGTAAGTGAACTGCTGCCCCCCACCACCGGCCCCCTCTCTGCTTCCTCATCTGCTCCCCCCCAGTCTCCCCAGCCTCCGTCTGTCTGTCCGTCCATCCATCCACTCCCTGTGCCCCCTTCACCCTGCTTTTAGCTTAGCTTAGCTTGCACCCCGTGTCCTGGGGCAGTGCCAGCCCCGCCACAGTGGCAGCCCAAGGGGTCCCCTGGCCCAAGTGCCAGGAATGGGGATGGAGTGACAGAGGAGCCTCCTGCCGAGGGCTGCTGTGGGGTGAAGGTGCTCCTGGACCCTCCAGGGATATGGGCACAGAGGGGGACCTGTGGCAGCTGCTGGGATGTGAGGATGGGGTGATGTCCCCAAGCCAGAGCTGGGGGTGTGGCCTCGGCTTGGCAGTGGGAACCCCATCAGATTGAGGGGAGTGTCAGGGGAGCCCAGCGCTGACAGCGTCCCATCTCACAGGGAAAGGGGATCTGCAGCCCCAGCTGGACAACGCCCTGCAGGACGTCAATGACATGTACCTGCTGCTGGAGGAGACGGAGAAGCAGGCAGTCCGCAAAGCCCTCATTGAAGAGCGGGGTCGCTTCTGCACCTTCATCACCTTCCTGCAGCCCGTGGTGGTGAGTGCCGGGGACCAGGAGGGTGTGTGGGTGATTCCTTCTGCCCAACCGGTGCTGATGCTCTCTCTTATCTGGCCTCAGAACGGGGAGCTCACCATGCTGGGAGAGATCACCCACCTGCAGGGCATCATCGAGGACCTGGTGGTGCTCACGGCTGAGCCCCACAAGCTGCCCCCCGCCAGCGAGCAGGTCAGTGGGGGTGGGCTGGGGGGCTCAGGGGAGAGGGGAGCATCTTTGAGGGGACTTACACCCCATCCTTCTTGCAGGTGATCAAGGATCTGAAGGGCTCTGACTACAGCTGGTCCTACCAGACCCCTCCGTCCTCGCCCAGCAGCTCCAGCTCCCGCAAGTCCAGCATGTGCAGGTATGGTGGGGTGGGCTCCACACCCAACCACAGCCAGGAAATCCAGTCCTCCTCGTTAACCCCAGTGGGCTAAGGACACTTACAGCCCTTGGGGATGCTCACAAGGTGCATGTCCACCTTCTCATGTTCACGTGGCCAACTGGTTCCCACTAATGTGGAGGAACTGGTCTTGGTGCACTGGGCAGGGCTGGTTGACCTATGGGGCAGGATGGGTGCCTGGAATGTGCCGTGTCATCTGGGGTTTGGGGGCAATGTGAGCTGTGCAGGGGAACCTGGGGGCAAACACACCACCTTTGTCCTGTCCCTCAGCCTGTTCCCTGCCACAGGGGCACCCTGTGTGGCACCCCGTGTGCCTCAGTTTCCCCAGGTCGGGGTGTGTGGCAGGGCACTGACCGCCCTGCCACCTCCGAGCCTCTGTCTCAAATTCTCTTTTCCTTCCTTTGTCCTCCCCACCCGGCGTGTCCCCGTCCCCCCGGCGCCCCCCCAGCAGCGTTAGCAGTGCCAAGGGTGGCATGGCGTGGCCCGGCGGGGCTCAGACCTGCTCACCCAGTTCCACCTATCGCTACCGCAGCCTGGCGCAGCCCCCCGCCGCCGCCACCCGCCTCTCCAGCGTCTCCTCCCACGACTCCGGCTTCATCTCCCAGGACGCCGCTTACTCCAAACCGCCCTCCCCCATGCCCTCGGACATCACCAGCCAGGTACGGGGCGGGCGGTCAGTGCTGCCCACCTCTGTGCCTCAGCTCCCCCCTCAGTGGAACGGGTGGGTGGTGCTGGGTGCAGGGGTGATGGGACCCATCCCCAGGAGTATTTCCAGCTGCTCTGGCATCACGACAGATAAATATTGGGAGTATTGGGGGTGTCTGCCCTACTTGAGGCCATCACAGGCCACATTGCAGAGAAATCCCACCCATGACCCCGTCCCCCAGAGATGGGGCACAGATATCCCTCTCCCCATGCCAGGGGAATAGAGTATTTCCCACTGGGAGAACAGGGTGTTTCCCAATCACCCCAGCCCCGTAATGCCCAGTTTGTTCCAGTCCCTCACCAGGCAGCATGAGCAAAGCTTCCCCTTCACTCTGCATCTTCCCCAGTGCCAATGGTGCTCCAGGATCCCTAGGGAGCTGCCATTCTGGCTTGCCCGTGCTAACCTGGCACCACCAACCTGGCAAGGTCCCCACTCCCTAAAATGCCTGTTGTCTCTGCGTGGCTTGGGGTGAGCAGGGGGGGAGGGTTGGAGCATCATCCCAGCTCAGTGGATCCCGCTGCCTCTCGCCATCCCGCATCCGCTGCCGGAGGGGAGGAGGGCTGGGGGCCTGGCACAGCCAGGGGAGCTGTGAGTGCTTCTCTAACCGGGGCTGCAGCTCTGGCTTTGCTTCCTAACGGCCTCTTCTCTCCCCCTCTGGCTCTCGGCTCGGCCTCGTGGCACGGCACAGCAGAAGTCCTCCAGCTCGGCATCCTCAGAGGCCTCCGAAACCTGCCAGTCAGTTAGCGAGTGCAGCTCCCCCACCTCGGTTAGTCCTTGCCATCCCACCGGGGTTGCACTTCACACGTGGTTCCCCCCCTCACCTCGTGGGGTTCAGGCCCCAGATCCCCCCATCCCACCCCCCCATGGGGCAGAGCATCCCGAGCAGCACCCGTGGCTTGGTGGGGGACATCAACGTGTGCCCCCTCCTGCCCCACTCCTGGTCCCGGTGTCACCAGCGTCAACCTCATGCCTTGCCCTTTGCAGGACTGGTCCAAGGCCAGCCCCTATGACCAACCAGTGGTCCCCACCCTGCAGCGGCGCAAGGACCGCGTGGAGCACCTCCGGGAAGCCGAGATGGGCTCTGCTGCCGGGGGGTACCCGGGCATTGGCGGCGAGGATGCTCCCAGGCCCCGGATGTCACCAGCTACAATTGCTGCCAAGGTACCGCCTGCAGCGGGGAGAGCACAGAGGTGGGGGGTCTTAGGGGACTCCCAGGAGAGAAACCAGGGTGCTGACAGTGCCCCTTACCTCCACAGCACGGGGAGGAGGTGTCCCCTGCCGCCAGTGACCTGGCCATGGTCTTGACCCGGGGGCTGAGCTTGGAGCACCAGAAAAGCAGCCGGGACTCGCTGCAGTATTCCAGCGGCTACAGCACACAGACCACCACCCCCTCCTGCTCTGAGGACACCATCCCTTCCCAAGGTACCTCAGGTGCAAGGGGTAGCTGGGGCCACTTGAAACAGCACCCAGAGTGGGGAAGGGGAGGTCCTCGAGCACATCTGCGTGCCCTGGGTGTCGTAACATCAGGCTGTGGTCATATTGCACAGGGGCTGCTGGGGTGAACATTTGATGTGTGCTGGGGATTTGGGGTGTGGCACAAGCTTCGTACCACACATAACCACAGCCTTTTCTGATTGTTTGGGTGTTAGCTGAGGCTCGGTGGCTACAATTGTGTCAGGCAGTGCTGTAACGGGCAGCCTTTTGGCAGGGTGTTGTTGGAGCTGGTTTGTGGTGATGTGTCTGTGTGCACCAGTTGAGTACAGGTGGAGATGGTGGCAGATGGTAGGTGGTGGCAGCAGAGCTGGCGGTTGGAGATCAAATGATGTTTGCAATCACCGTGTTGATTATATGATGATTACATCGTGTTTGTAATCATCATGTTGGTGTGATGACGGCTGAGCCAGTGATGAGCATGTGATGGTGACAGTGGAGTTTGGCTGTGATTGTGTTGTGATAACGGTGGTTGGGGTGGTTGTGATGGTGATGGCTGGGTTTGATTCAACCAGTGGCAACAGTGGGGGCTGGTTGTGTTCGTGTTGCAATGGTGACAGTTGGGTCTGGTTGTGATTTCGGTGTGATGGAGTGGGGTGGTTGTGGCTGTCCTGCAATAGTGGTGGTTGGGGTGATCGTGGTTGGCCACACTGACTGTGCTACTCCCTCCCCAGGCTCCGACTACGACTGCTACTCGGTGAACGGCGACGTGGAGTGCGACCCCCAGAGCGACTTCGACAAGTCCTCCACCATCCCGCGCAACAGCAACATCGCCCAGAACTACCGGCGGATGATCCAGACCAAGCGTCCCGCCTCCACCGCCGGGCTGCCCACTGGCACCAACCTACCGGCCGGCACCACCCCGGGGGTGGCCACCATCCGCCGCACGCCCTCCACCAAGCCCTCGGTCCGCCGTACCCTCTCCAACGCCGGCCCCATCCCCATCCGACCCCCCATTGTCCCCGTGAAGACCCCCACGGTGCCCGACTCCCCTGGCTACGCTGGCCCCACGCGGGTGGGCAGCGAAGAGTGCGTCTTCTACGCCGACGACGCCTCTCCAAACCCCCTGGATTTTGCCAAAGCTTCGCCCAAGCGGCTGAGCCTTCCCAACACCGCCTGGGGTGGCGGTGCCATGGAGATCTCCGTGTACCCCGGGGCCGGCCAGCACCTCTCCGCCGAGGAAGAGGAGGACCAACAGTTGGCCGCCAACAGGCACAGTTTGGTGGAGAAGATCGGCGAGCTGGTGGCCGGCGCCCACGCCCTGGGGGAAGGCCAGTTCCCCTTCCCCACCACCCTCGTGGGGTCCGGCCCCAGCGAGGAGACCCCCGCGCCCCCCCCCGGCGGCCTCCATGGACCCCCCGGCCGAAGACATGCTGGTGGCCATCCGGCGCGGGGTGCGGCTGCGCAGGACCGTCACCAATGACAGGTCGGCCCCGCGGATATCGTGATGACGCCGTGGCCAGCGGGGACGTGCCCGCCGCGGCCCATGGACCTCCCGGGGGCAGCCGCTGCACCTCCCCGGGAACCCCCCACCCGCCGGCACCCGCTGCCCTGTCCCTGTCTCCTCCTGCCCTACCCTCTTCCCTGTATCCTTCCTTCACTTGCTCTTTCTTTGCCCCTTTTTCTCCTCTTTTTCTTCCCCTTTTCTCCTTTTCTTTTTCCTGTGTTTTTTTTCTTTTTCTTTTTTTTTTTATTCTTCTCTTATTTATCTCTTTTTCTTCTCTTATTTTCCTTTTCGTTTTTCTTATTTTCCTCTTTTTCTTCTCCTTTCTTTTTAACTCTTTTTCTCCTTTCTTTTTTCCTCTTTTTCCCCTTTCCTTTTTTGCCCTCTTCCCCGTCGTTTCTCTTTTCCTTTTTTCTCTTTTCCTTTTCCCCTCTCTCACTCCCTCCCCTCTGTGTTCTCTCCCCCGGGCGCAGGCGGGTGGCCCCAGCCGTGGCACGAGAGGACGGTGCCCACAGGGCCGTGGCAGCAGCAGCACCAGGAGTGGGGGGGGCCTGGCTCAATCCCCCCCAGCTGCCTGCTTGGGGCCAGCACGGCTCAACCTCAATTTCAAGGGGCAGAAGCAGTGGGGAGGGGGGTGCAGGGAGGGGGGATGTGTGAGAGGGTGGAGGAGCTGGGGGCACAGGCACTGCAGTCCCCTCTGCCTTGGGGGGACACTGGTGTGCAGTGGCTGAGGATGCTGAACCTCCTCTTTGCCCCCCCTCCCAGGGATCCCTCCCAGCCCCCCTCGAGCCCCCTCCCTCAGCCCCTGAAGCCCCTGTGCAGGGCCCTGCTCGGGGGATGGGCCCAGGGAACAGGAGGTTTCAGGCAGACCCCCGAAGTGAAGAAGCTGATTTCTGCCGGCGGCTGGAGGAAAGCACAACCCCCCGGCCCCGCTGTACATAGCCCCGCCCGCCCCGCTGTCTGTCGCATCGCAGCCCCCCCAGCCCTCCTCTCTTAGGAATAACAATTTAGTTCTCCCCCTTTCCCCTTCTCCTGCCCAGAACCGCTGATGCCAAGTGACAAATGTTTGGGTTTGAGGGAGGGAGGGGGTCTCTTATTTTGTACAGAAAACAAAAATTCCTTGGAAAAGAAAAAAAACCTGACCTGTCTTTCGACTGAAGTAACTTTTCTGGTGCTGTTGTTAACTTGGTCCTTACTCTTTTTTTTTTTTTAATTTATTTTACCCAATGTGCTCCCGCCTCTGCCGCCGCTTCCCCCCTCCCCATCCCTCTGCCAAGTTTATTTCTCTTTCTTTCATTCCTTCTTTTGTTTTAATTTTTTTTTTTTCTGGTGGTAATTTCCCTGTTTCCCACCCCCCCCTCCCCACCCCTTCCCCGTTTTCCATAGTCACTGCTACAAGTAACGAATGCACTGTGAAGATTCCAGTATTAATAAAGGTTGTACTGTAATTAATAGCCTCGCCTGCACTCCTGTGGATGTTCTGGTCCCCTGGGGTCACCCCAAAAATAGGGGACAAGTGGGAAGATCCCCTCGCCCCTTTGGGGTGCCCGTGGCTGGGAGTGAGTGGGTATTTTGGGGTATGGAGGGGTGAGACAGCCCCACGGTCGAGGTGATGGGTGACCCAGGATGCAGAAGAGCATCCTGCTGTCCCATCCCCTCCAGGAGAGGGGGTGCAGGCGGTGCCCCCCCCCACCTCCACCCATCCCAGCAGCGCCCGCGTTGCCGCCTCCCAGATTATCGGGGCCGATTGCCAAACCTTGCTGGAGCGGCACAACCGGCGCGGGGAGCGGCGGGGATGGAGGGGCTCGGCGTGGGCAGCGTCCTGCTGACCGGCTGCGACGGGGGGCTCGGCCTGGCGCTGCTCAAGGGACTGCTGGAGCAGCCCAGCCCACCCCGGCACCTCTTCGCCGCTTGCCTGGACCCCCAGGGGAAGGTAGGGAGGGCACTGGAGCAGGGGGAGGACAGGGAGAGGTCAGCTCTGGGGAGGGTGCCTGGGGATGCCACCATCCCACCTGGAACTGGGGTGAAGAGCGTCGCCATCCTGCAGATGAATGGCATGGAAAAATACATACATACATATATATATACACATCCATATTTAATACACATATAGGTATTTTAAATATTTTTATATATATATGCGCATTTTTTGTTTCATATATATATATACATATATATATATATATGTGGACAGGCTATGTATATAATATATAAATATATATAATAATATATAATATTATAATATATATAATTCTAAATATGTTGTTTAATACATATATAGGAACAGGCTATATATATTATAATACATAAAAAATATTATAATATATATAAAATAATATTATAATATATATTATTATATATTTTTTTGTTTCTTATATATATATAGGAACAGGTTATATATATATTGGTAAATTATATAATGGTAAATTATTATATATTATAATATATATATAACCTGTCCCTATATATATAGGAAACAAAAAAAAAAAATATTATAATTATTATAATATTATTTTATATATACTATAATATATATTTCTCTATTATAATATATATATATAACCTGTCCCTATATATATAGGAAACAAAAAAAATATATAATAATATATATATAATAATATTATTTTATATATATTATAATATATATTTATATATTATAATATATATATAGCCTGTATATATATATTATATATATAGCCTATATAGATATATTAAACAAAATATTTGCAATAATATATATATTATAATATTATAATCTATAACACTGCTATCTTCTTTGAGAACACACGCAGGATCACTCTCGAGGAGAAAAGGCAATGCAGAAAGAACCGTGTTTTGCAGAATACACCATCTAAGGAGTCTTTCTGCTGTGCCTTTTGCAATCGGATATGTCTGTCTCCTATTGGCCTCATAAGTCACCAACGTGCCTGTAACAAAGGTGGAGAGAGCCTTCCCAAGTCTTCGTTCGCGAAGCCCGGCCATGATGATGATGATGATAATATATAAATATATATTATAATATATATAAGAATATTATAATATATATATTATTATA